TTCTCATATCAGTAATACCTCCACATACCCAATGATACACTTCACACAAAAGACATTTCCAAATAGGTCAACCAGCCTCATCCAGGCCCCACCCAAGGCACTCACAGATCAACACCCCAGAGCTATACTAACTCAACACATCCAGATCTAAGCCTTCATCACTTGAGTCAGCAGACCCTCAAGTTCCCGCAAAAGTTTCCAGCCATGTCTGAGAGGCAGCCGTGGGGCAGGGGCAGGCGAGGAGAGAGCTGTTCCGGGCCTGGCTGCTCCGGGTTTGGCCTCTGTTGCTCTGGTTCGTTCCACAACCAGCTGCTCCGGGTCTGGTCACTGCTGCTCCCGACCTAGTTGCTCTGGACTTGGCTGCTGCTGCTCCGAGCCTGGCTGCACCCAACCCAGCTGCTCTGGGCCCGGCTGCTCCGGGCCCGGCTGCTCCGGGCCCGGCCGCTCCTGGCCTGGCCGCTCCCAGCCTGGCAGCTGCTGCTCCGGGCCTGGCCGCACCCGACCCAGTTGCTCTGGGCCTGGCCACTCCCAGCCTGGCAGCCGCTGCTCCAGGCCTGGCCGCTCCCAGCCTGGCAGCCGCTGCTCCAGGCCTGGCCACTCCCAGCCTGGCAGCCGCTGCTCCAGGCCTGGCCGCACAAGACCCGGCTGCTTCGGGCTTGGCCGCTCCCAGCCTGGCAGCTGCTGCTCCGGGCCTGGCCGCTCCCAGCCTGGCAACCGCTGCTCCGGTCCTGGCAGCACAAGACCCAGCTGCCCTGGGCCTGGCCACTTCCAGCCTGGCAGCCCCTGCTCCGGGCCTGGCCGCTCCCAGCCTGGCAACCGCTGCTCCGGTCCTGGCAGCACAAGACCCAGCTGCCCTGGGCCTGGCCGCTCCCAGCCTGGCACCCGCTGCTCCGGGCCTGGCAGCACAAGACCCAGCTGCTCTGGGCCCGGCTTCTCTGGGCCTGGCCACTCCGGGTCTGGGTGTTCCTGGACTGGCCACCCTGGGCTTGGCCGCCTCCGCCTCAGGCCTGGCTGCCACTGCCCCTGGTCTGGCTGCTCCAGTTCTGGCTGTCGATGCTCTGGTTCTGGCTGCTGCTGCTCTGGGGCCTGGCCATTGCTGCTCCGGGCCCGGCTGCCACTGCCTTGTGCCTGGCCACTCTAGGCCTGGCTGCCGCTGTTCCAACATTCTGTCCTTTTTTTCTTTTTTTAAAAAAAAACACATATATGTTGCAATGTTGGCTGGTGAGTTGAGTTCTGACTTAGTCTTTGATTTTTCAAGATCTTCTTTGTATTCTTTCTTAAGTGATTTTACTATCTTTTTCTCTCACTTGGTTTCTTCACATTGAGAACTTCTTTGGTTTCTTCCTCCTTGTCCTGGGAGCTCAGCAGGTTGGCCTATGGCACCCCTTTGTTCTCCGCGGGCTCCTGCACTGCTTCAGCCTGTTGCCGGGGTCGGCGCTGCCCAGGAAGCAGCCCCCGGCCTTGGCTCCATTGCCCGCGCTCAGCGGTTGAAGGCTCAGGGGCACCCCCCCCCCATGGGGGCCCCGTTGCCCGGCTCCTTGCTGGTGCCCGGCTGGCTGGTGTCTGGCAGGGGCTCCTGCTTCTCATCGCGTTCTTCCAGTCTGGAGCTTTTTTTCTCCTTCCTGCTAAGGGAGTCTAGGATCAGAGTCAACAGACTGTCCTCTGTAGGCAGTGTGCGCGACTCTGGGGGCTCCGCTTTTCGCAGCTCCCCCAGGACTCCACCTCACAGCCCCGTCTCCCTCTGCTTGAGCCTGGGTCCCCAGGGATTGGCCTAGAACTGGAGTTCAGGGCAGTCGGGAGTGGGGCTCAGCACCGCCAGAGATTTTCTTTCTTCCCGCCAGGGCAATACAGCATCAGAGTCAACACTCTGTCCCCTGCATGCATTATGCACGTCTGCGCGCACTGTGCGTGACTCTGGGGGCTCCGCTTTTAGCCACTCCCCTGGGATTCTGCCTCACAGCCCCATCTCCCCCTGCATGAGCCTGGGTATCCATGGTCTGGCTTAGGACTGGGGTTCAGAGCAGTCGAAACTGGGGCCCAACATGGCCGGGGCTCCTGTTTCCTTCCCTCCAGGGCAATCCCGCATCAGAGTCAACATTCCTTCTCTTGCAAGCAATGTGCGTGACTCCGGGGGCTCGGCCTTTCACCACTCTCCCAGGACTCCACCTCACAGCCCCGTCTCCCTCTGCTTGAGCTTGGGTCCCCAGGGATTGGCCTAGAACTGGGGTTCAGAGCAGTCCGGACTGAGGCTCAGCGCCGCCGGAGGCTTTGTTTCTTCCGGCTAGGGTAATCCAGCATCAGAGTCAACATTCAGTCCTCTGTGCGCAATGTGTGTGTGACTCCGGGGGCCCTGCTTTTCACTGCTCCCCTGCGATTCCGCCTCACAGCCCCGTCTCCCCCTGCCGGAGCCTGGGTCCCCAGGGTCTGGCCCATAACTGGGGCTCAGCGCTGCCAGTTCGGGGGTTCAGTCCAGGCTGGGGGTTTTATTTCCTTCCTGCTAGGGAACGCCTGGCAGCACCCAGCCCTCTCCTCCTCTCCGGCTGTGACCTCTCCGCGCGTGCGTGCGGGCGCACAGCATGTCTCCGTACCTTAGGCTTTTTTTCAGCTCCTCTGATTTTCCTTCTGGTTTTCTCTTTCCTTCTTGTTGTAGAATTTTCAGTCAGTCGACTACCTGTAGCTCTGGGCAATGTCCACTCTACATTTTAGGTGTATTCCATTGAAATTGTTGTGTGCTGCTGTGGTTAGATGTCTACCTGAGCAGCCATCTTGGATCCTCCTCCAAGTTTCTCATTTCTAAGCAGTGACAGCTCTCAAACACAAATTAAAAACAAATTTACCCTTTCCTAGTGCCTATTGTTCTCCTAGAAAAGTAATTTACATTTACGATCTCTATTTTCTTACTTCCTCAGCACACTAAAATTTAAACCCTGCTTCCATGACTGTGACCTGGGTTTGCCATATATATATTGAATGACTAAAAGGTATTAGTGACTTCCTGTTTTGGGTTGTTTTTTTCCTCCCAAAGAAAACAATCTTATCTAATAAAAGAGTAATATGCAAAATAACCATCACTCCATTACAACCACAAGCCATGCCCACCAGAAATCAGGAGTGAATATGCAAATTATTCCAACCAAGATGGCTGCAGCCACTGAGAGAGCAGAGGAAGGCTTGGGTTTCCCTGGCAATGGAGGAAGCCAAGCTTCTGCAGCCCTAGCCTGCCTTGGCTTCCACTTAAGGCTACAAAGTTTCAGTTGTATAATAGAAGATAAATAATTCCCAGATACCAGGGTTTCCACTTGGGTCACCGGGGTACATGGCTAGCCTGCAAACCACCACAGCCCCTTGCCCAGGCCACCCCATGCCTCAAGGGGACCCCCCACCCTAATCTGGAACACCCTTCAGGGCAAACCAGCTGGCACCCACCCATGCACCAGGCCTCTATCCTAATAAAGAGAAATATGCAGATTGGTCATCACTCCAACACACAAGATAGCTGTCCCCATGTGGTCAATTTCAGTAGGATCGAGCCTAAACAGGCAGTTAGACATCCTCGAGGAGTCCCAGATTGGAAAGCGTGCAGGGTAGGCTGAGGGACATCCCCTTGCATGCACAAATTTTGTGCACTAAGCCTCTAGTCTTATTTTAAGTTTAATGATGCATTTGACATTCTGAATTTCTTAACTTGTGAAAGTCTCTCATGTCATGACTTCCCTAAGGGTAATTCTCTGACTCACTAAATATCTATAAATGCTCTTTTGACATATATTGCTAAATTCAGTTCCTCTTTCTTATAAATATCCCTTTTGTGTTGCTCTAGGCTTCCTTCTCCTTTCACTTTGAAACTTCCCCCCAATGACCTTGTACATTTTTGTGGTTTTAACCACATGTGGCATTATTTCTACAGTTATACTTCCCATTTGTATATTTCTACTAATAATTATCTCCTGAATGTCAAATTCTATGTCCAAATGCCCAGTATACAAACATTTTAACATTCCCCATATATTTTAGGCTGTATCTATCTAAAAAAGATATCCACCATCTTTACACACTCTCTTTGACTTCCTCTTGCACTTCTGTTTCAATGTGTGTTCCCACCAAATCATTCAATTCACAAACATGAAATCATCCTGGAATTAAGTCAGGGTTGCTGAAATTCAGCCTATGTTCTACTTAGCTACATCATGGGCCCAGAGTGGGCACATAAAGGGTGCCACGGGGCTAGGAATCATCTTGCTTTTAGTGTCCCCACCTCAAAATTGAATCATCACATCATCTCATTGTTACTTTCAAAATATCTTTTGAATACATGCCTTCTCTTTTCCAAATTCATTTCCATCAGCTAAGTTAGACCGTGGTCAGTATTTCAAAGTCTTTCTAACCTGAATGCATATCTTAAAATCCTACAGACAAAACAAACTTCCTAAAATTCAAAATAAAAAAATCAGATCAACTTACGTAAAGAGAACATTCTTATGTAATGTGTACAAAGCACGTTTGATCTGATTTTGCAGTCTCATCTTCTATTATCATTTCTCTTGATCTTTATATGGTAGTAATATTTGGTTATTTATAGTCCCCAAAACACTGTTATCTCTGTTTATCCACAATCCCTTCTTTACTGCCTTCCCATCTTCAAATCTCCACCTAGAAAAGTCACTTTCAAATTCTACAACTGGCCCAACTGGCCTATTTCTTCAGATATTTCCCTCTTACTGCCCACAACAGCTAAAAGTATTAAGCACATTTTCCTCTTTGCAAGTTCTTAAGCTTATACACACATTGATAATTAAGTCTATTTTTTTATATATCTGATTACTTTTTTTTCCCTGTTAGTAGATCATATGTTCCTTAAGCACAAGGATTATATATTAGTTATCTGTGTGCTTAGCAGTGCTTAGCACAGGGCCCAGTTTACAGTGAAGTCTGACAGCAGCTACTCCCAGCTACTTCTCAGAGAGGTCTAAAATACTGAGATGATTCTATTTTGAATGCAGAAAGAACTTTCAGATCATTATAGGCCCTGGATGGAAATTGCCAGCAAACTTTCTGACTTGATTGAGAGTCACCAGCTTCGAGCTCACGTGAACGAGGTATGTATAAATAGTTATTTTACTTTTCCACCCCTTCTCACCACCCTATTAAAATCCTCATGCCGCTTTTTCTTCTCAGCATTGTGGAACTGGGTGAGTTCACTTAAGGACACCAATTATTGCCATTGAGTTTATTGGCCCAATGTTCTCACCCTTACTAAAGAGCTGAGTGACTTGTTCCTGTTTTGACACTCGAGTTACCTTAAAATTTCCAGATCCTGCATAAAACAATTCCCGGAACACATATTAAGTACCCCACCTGTATTTGTTTTTAAAAAAGAAGATAAGCCTGACTTGTGTAGCTCAGCACTTGAGCATCGACCTATGAACCAGAAAGTTATAATTTGATTCCCAGTCAGGGCAGATACCTGGGATTGCAGGCTGTATTCCTAGTACGCGGCATGTAGGATGCCGCCTCTTAATGATTCTCTCATCATTGATGTTTCCAGCTCTCCTTCCCCCACTCCCTTCCTCTCTGAAATGTATATACCATATTAAGTAAATCATAGTGATCTACAAATGAGTGTATATAACCTGTGCCAAGAATTCAACCACAGCAATAAGAAGACCCCCTCCCACCCCCTACCTCTTGGAGCCTTCTCTCTCCCATCTCAGTACCAAGGGCACAAAATCAAGAGGGAGTCTAAGACAGTTTGTAGGAAGACACACTGAAGTTCAGCTTGTGAACTGCACCGTCCTTTGTACCAGGCTTTCCTCAGGCTTTTAATGGGTTATACTGCCATAAATAAAAGGAAGGACTTGCTGAACTGGTGTTCTTCCTATATTAAATGTCAATGAGGAAAGGCCAGGAGTGTCCTGCTAACTTTTGTCCATTGAAAACACGGGAGTTGGGGAAACAGCTTCAGCACAAAAGTGAAATTAACCCCCTGACACTTCCACTGGGCTGAATAGTGTCTCTTCCCTCGGAATCTGTGAATGTGAGATTATTTGGACAATAGAGGCCCAGCACATGGTTACATGGTGAATGGTTAAGGTCCCCAGGCTTAGCTGCAATCAGGGCCATGTCCTCCGCCCAGCATTGCTCCTCTACCTCCGTGGCTTCTGCCCCAAGAAGCGCCAGGCTAACAGCCCCCACCCCGCGAGACTCCTTGGCTTCTGCCACCCACACCCTGCGACCCTCCTCCTCCTCAGCCGCCCTGTGAGGCCCCACTCTAACAGCCTCCGCCCCGCTCCTCTGCCTCCCCTGCCTAGCAATGCTCCTCTGCCTCAGCCATCCTACAAGCTGCATGCTCACAGACCCTGTCTCACTCCTCCACCACGCCTCCACCGCCCCTCAGTGCTCCACGCTCACCACCCCTTCCCCACGATGCTCCTCTGTGCCTCAGCCACCCTGGAAAGTTCCAGGCTAACAGCCCCCGCCCCATGAGACTCCTTGGCCTCAGCCACCCTGGGAAGCTCCATGCTCGCAGCCCTCCACCCCACGAGGCTCATAGGCCTCCGTGGCCCCACCTCACCACGCCTTGAGAGCCAGACCAGACCTTTGGTTGTTTGGGCCCACCGTTCTACTTAGCTACCTCATGGGCCCCGAGTGGGCAGCCGGGGGCCCACAGCTCCTGCTCCCTCAGCTCCCTAGCCTGCTGTTTCGTCATCTATCTGGTCATTTCAGTCGTGATGGCACCTGGCTTTTTTATATATTAGATAAGGTCTTTGCAGATGTAGACAAGGTCATATTGTATTAGGGTGCACGCTAAATCCACTAAGTCTGACATTGTTAGAAGAAGGGAATGTGGACATAGGCACACAGGGAAGAACACCACATGAAGACAGAGGCTTAGATTGGAGTTGGCATCTGTAAGCTACACCGAGTTGCTGGCAATCACCAAAGACTAAGAGACAAACAATGGAGCAGGTTCTCCTCCCCCACCTCCTCCCCCCATAGCCTCCAGAGGAACCAACCTTACAAACACTGAAATTTCAGATTCATAATTGTGAATTGTGGGAGAATCAATTTTTGTGGTTTTAGCTTCCCATTTAAAAAAAATATATATACTTTATTGATTTTTAGCAGAGAGGAAGGGAGAGAGATAGAGCGCTAGAAACGTCGATGAGAGAAACATCGACCAGCTGCCTCTCGCACACCCCCTACCAGGGATGTGCCCGCAACCAAGGTACATGCCCTTGACTGGAATCGAACCTGGGACCCTTCAGTCTGCAGACCGATGCTCTACCCCTGCCTCCCCGGCTTAGGCTAGCTTCCCATTTTATGTGCATTTGTTAAGGCAACTGTTGGAGACACTCTTCTTACTCAGAAAACATCTAACAAGATAAGACCATTTTAAAGACTTTACCACCATAGGCTGAGACTAAATAATTTGGAAATCAGTTATGCGAAGCAAATATAACGGTTTCTAGGACCACACATGAAGCTACATACTCAAATATTTGTACTCTTGTGTCCTTTACTTAGCAGAGACAACATAATAAGTGAATTTCCTGTTTGGATCTCACAGTACTTTAGGGACAACCACTTGTTCTTAGAAATCTGTATCTTGGTTACAAATAATAATCTATACTAATAAAAACCTACGTGGTCCTCATATGCAATGTCATTACAAGATGGCCTCCACAAGATGGCCACATGCACAGTAGAAGTGGGGCCTGGCAGCCTAGGGGTCTCATGGCTCCACAAGGCACAAGGAGGCCAGTCCCAGCAGAGGAGGCAGGTGGCAGCAGAAGAGGGCAATTATGGGCAATTGTGCCATCAGGGGAGGGCAGTTGGGGGGCCATCAAGCCAGTAGGGGAGGACAGTTGAGGGTGATTGGGCCAGCAGGGGAGCAGTTAGGCATCAATCTGCTGGGAAGTGGTTAGGGAGCAATTAGGCAGGCAGGCAGAAGCAGTTAGGGACAATCAGGCAGGCAGGCAGGTGAGCAGTTAGGAGCCAGCAGTCGCAAACTGTGAGAGGGATGTGCAGCTGCTGGCAGTCGGACATCCTCCAAGGGATCCCAGATTAGAGAGGGTGCAGGTCAGACTAAAGGACAACTCCGTCCCCGTGCACAAATTTCATGCACTGGGCTACTAGTAATAATAATAATAATAATAATAATAATAATAATAAATAATCTTTTTCCAGGGAAATTTGCCCTTCTCCACCCTCCTTCCATAAAATACTGCAGTCAACTGACTTGTTCACAGGAAGCGAGGGCACTGGAAACATTATTAGGGAAGCTATATCAGCTACTAATCATAATAAAACTCACCTCCATTCCTGAACACAAATAAATAAGCCAAAATTATCAAAAAATATGCAGAGAAAGAGGAAGTCAAAGAGCAGGAGGAAGAAACTGGACATTTAGAGCCAGTGATCTCTAATCCAAAACAAAATATCAGATCAATGCTTTTAAATTTTAATATAATTAATTTAAAATCATTAATTAAGAATCAATTGATGTCTAAGTAATTATTTACTTCATAAAAATAAGTGAAGTTACTACATAAAAGAAATTGTTGGAAAACAAAGGAAGAAACAAACAAAAACAGTAGTAAAAACCCAAATAAATTAGGGGGGAAAAAAGGTAATTTAAGGAATTCCTTGAAAATTTGTAAAAGCATAGAGAAAAAATGAAAGAAATACCCATTATCAGAAAAATAAAACTATGTGAAAAAGAGAAATGAATAATTCAAATTTCATAAAATAGAGCTCTCACAAACAAAGTAGTGTAGATGGGAGAAAAGAAAAGTTTTAAGCATATAAGAATAAAATTTTTTAAAATCTCAATTAATTAATTCTATTAGAAAGACAATGGGGGTAGGTGGGCACCCAGACATCCTGGTGAAATTTCTTATTTTCTAGATTACAAAGGAAAATTTGCAAATTTTGATCATGAAATAAAAAAACCTGGGTTACTTACAGAATAACATAGGACTATTTACAATAGTATTAAAAGACAATTTAATATTTATTTTAATTGCTATAATTAAAAAAATACCTGGAAATACCAACTACTACTGAGGATATGTACTGAAAGGGACTCTCATTCATGTTGCTGGTGGGAATTCAAAATGGTACAGCTACTTGGAAGACAGCTGGCAGATTCTTATAAAGTTAAACACAGATTTATCGCCTGACCCAACAATCCCACTCCCAAGTATTTAGCCAACTAAACTGAAAACTTATGTTTGTGGAAAACCTTGTGTGTAAATATTTATAACAATTTTATTCATAATCACCCAAACTGGAAACAACCAAGATGTACCTCACCAGGGGAATAGTTATACTGAGTACAATGGACTAAATGTTTGTGTTGTTCCCAAATTCATATTTCAAAACTTCTAACTTCCAACGTGATTAGGAGGCGAGGGTGATGAGGTGTATTAGTCAGGGTTTGCCCAAGAAACAGATCCAAAATGTGGTTAAAACAAATTAAGATGTAAAATACTGGATATTGAAGACTTACTAGAAAAAAGAGACTATTAAATAGCTTATTATTTCTCTTGATATTGCATTTATAATATTGTAAATATATTGTCTTAGACAAAAATAAATATATTTTTAATAAAATTTCACCTTATTCTTTTTTTCTGCTTTCAAAATGTGGCTTCTAGAAAAATCACAATTGCACATGTGGCTTTCCTATTTATGGAGACAGTACTTAACATAAGAGAGTAGGGCTGAGGTCAGAAGGGAAATTGCACCATGGCTCAGTGCCCCCAGGCTCTGTCAAATACCTTATCCTCTCTGACTGTGGGTTTGGGGGAAGGAAACCACCCTGCATGAGAAGTTTTTAGCATTGTGCCTTAAATGCTCTTTAATAAGAGTCTTAGAATAAATACTTAATAAATAAATGCTGCTATAATTCTCAGGCTGGTTCCAGTTGAAATGCAACATCTCAGCACCCCACTCCCCCCATCCTACACACACACACACACACACACACACACACACACACACACACTTAAGTAGGCAATTTTATCTCAGAGCCAGTTTAGAAGTGAAGGAAACACGCAGACAAGTTAGGAAAGGCTGTCCCCTAGTGGATGGAGAGAGAAGGATTCCGTAGGACAGTCCCAAGCCTGAGCTGCCCCTGAGCTTGGGTGGGTCCCAGCTCACTTGGTGGTGTCTGTAGCTTGAAAGGAAACCCTAGACACCCACCGCTGCTCCTTCAAGGGTTTCTTCGGACCGGAGAAGGGCACCAGAGAAGATCTAGGTAGGCTGTGTCTAAGGTTGGGGAGGTGATGGAAGAAGGAGCCAAGCTGAGGGCGCTGTGCCTGGAAGTGGAGCTCAGGGTCCTTGGAGTCAGCCAAGGCAGGGGGGGCGGCCCAGGCAAAACTATTGTAATAAGCTAACCGTATCTGTTTGGGTATTGCTGTCAATGATGACTAACTTCTGCACAGGGTGTTGCCTTCAATGAGGACACGGCCTGCGTGACATGGGAAGGAAACGGGCCTGGAGAGGTTCAGAAACCTAGCTAGGGTCACCGAGAGTGTCGAAACAAGGGCTGGACAACCATTTGGTCCAGTTTAGCTTCCCCCTCTAGGAATTTGGCCAGATTCCTAAGTCCATGGGGCCTCTTTTTGTTAGGATACACAGCTGGTTAGATCTCAGCAAGGAAAGGGAGAGCAAACAGGAACTGACATCTGACTAAGCAGGCAAATAGCCCTGGTGTCACCCCAGGAGCAACTGACATAGGTCAATCAGCTCAACAGGCCTGGGAAAACCTTACTGCCCACAGCCCAGGGCTGTTTTAGGGTTAGATACCAAGTAAGCAGATGTGCTTTTATTCATTATTATCACTTTTTTATGATTTAAGCTTGTATTTGGGAAAGATACAACCCAATTATTTGAATAAGTGATAAGATAAGACCTTATTATTTGAATATCCCATAAATTACATAGGAATGACAATCAGATAAACAATTCATTCTCTCAGTGATAAAAGAAGTTTTGCTAATAAAATGTAAGACTTGGTCAAAAGGAGGGCTGTTCCTTCCACTTAAAATAAAATATTTTCAGCATCTTTTTTTTTAAAAGTTATTATTGAGAGTATTACAAGTATCCCCCATTTTTCCTATGTTGCCCTCCCCTCCTCTGCCCAATTCCCGCCCCACCTGAGATCTTCACCATACTGTTGCTTGTGTCCATATGGATCATGCATATATGGATTTTAAATTATTTGGTTATTCTCTGCCTGACCGCCCTCCCCTTCCCTCTGAGATTCATCAGTCTGTGCTACGCTTAGCAGAGGTGCTTTGTTTTTTAAATGATGTGATTATAAAAGCTGCTACTGAAGGCCTGGCCAGTGTGGCTGAGTTGGTTGAGCATCATCCCGTACACCAAAAGGTTGAGGGTTAATTCCAGGTCAAGGAACATGCCCAGATTTCAGGTTTGGTCCTAATTAGGAGTGTGTAATGGATGCAATTGATCGATTTTTCCCCCCCTCTCTCTCCCTCCTCTTTTCTCTCTCTAAAATCAATTAAAATCTATTTTTCAAAAAGGTGCCCTTGAGGACTCCCATATAATAAGTGATCTAGTCAATTTAATTATTTTAGGTAACCAAGTAGCCACCTCAGTGATGGAGACCAGTGTCCGACACAATTTAGAGAATTGAGTGGGGCTGTTAGGTACTTGCAGAACAATATCATTTGGACTACCTCCTCTTATCCTGCTGAGTTCTAGGATCAGGAAGAAAAGGGTGTGCATGGTTCATGCACTGAAATAGAACCCTTTCCTTGCACCCAAAGAACCCTTCAAGCCCCAGAACCCCTGTGCTCATCCCATCCCCTGCAACTGATCATCTCTGGAACTTCTCTTGAACAGATGCCCCTCCTGAGCTGCCAGTTTCTCAAGAGTTACAGGGAACAGCGCCTGGCTCACCTGGTCCTGAGCTTAATTACCATGGGCTATGTCTGGCAGGAAGGAGAGGCACAGCCTGCAGAGGTAAGGGATACATTGATGCCTGACTGCTCATGGGCAGGACTGCTGTACCTAGGTCATGCTGTCTGCTTGGTGCCACAGTGTTTTTCTGGAAAATGGGTTCTTTCTTGCTCTTTTCTTTGGGTGTCAGTTGAAGAAAGAGCCAAGAGCCCATTCAAATGAAAAATGTCTTCCTCCTGACGGAGAGGTTAATTTTTTTTTTCCTTTTAGAACTGGTAGACCTTTTATTGCATTTTGAATCTATTTTTTTTTCTGTCACCCATTTTTAAGAATGTTTGAAAAGTTGCATTTGAAAGGAAGTTTGAAATCTCATGAAAAACTTACTGATAGCTCACATTTGACAGCATTTTGTACTGCTAATACATCAATTGTCTTGGTCAATTTTCACAGTTCCATAAGGTAGATAGATCTAAGCTGTGTCCACTTTACAGACAGCTAAAGACTATAAAGTCCAAGGTCAGATGGCTGGTTTCTGGAAAATCCAAGGCCAGACTCCACACTGTCTAATTTCATTAATGTCAACTCCTTCCTCAAGAGGCACACATTGACATTTACAACACAACTGCTTGTTCTCTAACAATTATTGGTTTGACTCTTAATAATTCATGTAAGTCTCTTATGAGTCTTTGCATAACATTTTACAGTTTAAGCCCAAAACTTGAGACATGAAATCTCCAAGCTTCATTAATTATAGTATGAAAGATGACTGCCTTTCATTTTATATAAATACATCTTTTCCAGAAATCAGGGAGCTGCTCATGTTCCAGCATTCCATGGTCAAGGGAATGGCCCACACCTGTTTTGTTTGCCTGGTTAATCTACCTCTTATCTTTCAAGTAGGTGCCTGAGACTCCCTATGAGAATAATAGTAATAATAATTTTTTTAAAAAAAGGAAAGTGACAAAGAAAATTATAGAGCTGCTTTAGCTTTTTTAAAACATATATTTTTATTGATTTCAGAGACAAAGGAAGAGAGAGATAGAAACATCAATGATGAGAGAAAAATCGATAGGCTGCCTCCTGCATGCCCCCTGCTGGGGATTGAGTATGCAACCCTGGCATTTGCCCTTGACCAGAATAAAACCTGGTACCCTTCAGTCCACAGGCCAATGCTTTATCCATTGGGCCAAACCAGTGAGGGTTGCTCCAGATTTTTAAAGTGTCAGTATAACTCTTCCCATAAGCAGTAGCCTGAGGTGACCTTTGAAAATGGTTTGCTGTTCACTTGGCCCAGAAAATTCCACAAAGTCCAATCAAGAGATTCAAATCTTCATGTTCACTTCAAGAACACTCGTGAAACTGCCCAGGCCATCAAGGGTATGCATATCCGAAAGCCACCAAGTAGCTATCACTTTCAGAAGCAATGTGTACCATTTCATCCTTACAATGGTGGAGCTGGCAGGTGTGTTCAGCCACACAGTGGGGCTAAAAGCAGGGTCTGTGGTTAATGGCTGAATTTAAGGGTGTAGATGTAAGTTCCCTATAGGAATCTCTTTCATGAAAAGACCCACGGGGAAAGAGTTCCAATTCAGGGTTCAGGTTCTGGAGAAGGGCCGCACACAAATGAAAAGACTCTTGAGACTTGAAGAAATTCAATTTGGTGATATGGGGGGCCAGGCGGTAGTCCACCTCTAGTGGGAGAACTATTCACTGCTCTGGCCCTGCCATCCCCTTTTATTAAGGCTTTGGGGAAAACATCTTAGACAATATAAACAGAAATTTACATGTAGCCCTTAGGCAGGAAATAACAGAAACTTACAGGGGACAAAAAGGTGGAGGCTGCTTCAGCTAATAATGTCTCAACTAAAGGGGGAGGGGTTAGAGCAATTAAGGTTGTTGACCAGCCTTCCTGGCTTCCTGCCAACATCCCTTTTTAGTGAAACTGATTTGTTTTCCAGCAGTTCTCTGATCATTGAGAAAATCTAGGGGAACAGAGCTCCCAAGATGCAGCGCAGAACCCACAGAGCCTCCATAGGAGCTCTCCCTGCCACATGGGAAGGATTCTTATTGAACAAGAGCAGATTTTTTCCTAAACCAGAAGAGGAGACTGCACAAGCAAAAGCACATCCCAGAAGAAATGGGAGACAAAACCTATGGCCCAGGAATAATTTAATATTAAAATAAATATTAATAAAAGTCAAATAAATGTCAGTACATATAATTTCTATGAAAATATATTGTTAGAAAGTTTGATATCTAGGACAAAAGAGCATCCCAATTAGGTTTTCCTCCCTCGCCTGTTCTCCAAACCATAATACTACATCAGGGAAGGGGTAGAGAAGGGTGACTGACAGGTGATGGTGTCTCTAGCTTCGAGGAGGGTCCATGTATTTCCAGGGCCCGTGAGCCCCCTACTCTCCAGCCTCAAATCCTATAGCTTACTTTTTTGGTATCTTCTCTGACTTTCAGCTAAGTAGACACCTCTCTTCTGCACTGTTCTCCTCATCTCCTGCCTCTTTTTTTTTTTTTTTTTAAATATATTTTATTGATTTTTTACAGAGAGGAAGGGAGAGAGATAGAGAGTCAGAAACATCGATGAGAGAGAAACATCGACCAGCTGCCTCTTGCACACCCCCTACTGGGGGTATGCCCGCAACCAATGTACATGCCCTTGACCGGAATCGAACCTGGGACCTTTCAGTCTGCAGACCGACGCTCTACCACTGAGCCAAACCGGTTTCGGCAACTCATCTCCTGCCTCTTGAGGGAAGCTGACCTGCGTTTGCATTTTATCACTATTTAAAGCTCTGTGTTGCTTCTACCTAAGAAACAATTCTATCCCAAGTTTATTTATAAATGTTATAGGGAAAAACAAAGGCAGAAGCAAGTTTTTCTTTCCCCTGCTTCACTCTTTGTAGGATGTGCTTATTGTCGGGATTTATATCTGATAGGTTCTGCCAAGAAACCTTGCCCTTCCCTTTGTGGAAGTCTCCAGGGACTTGGGGCTCCCACCTATCCTGGTCCACGCAGATTTGGTGTTGACAAATTGGACTACAAGGAATTCTGAAAGGTAAGAAAAGGGAAGAGCTTTGGACTTGAACAGATGGAAACAGAGTAATGGACAGTCTTGTGACCTGCTAGGAAGCTCCAGGTTTGTTCAGCTATTTTGTGATTAAAGGTGTTCATATTTATTGTCTGCCAAATGGTTGCAAAAAAGAAATGAACTTGAATACATGTTCAAAAACCACAGGTTCCCAGAAATTTCCTCTCAACCCTCATTGACTGCATTGGTGCAAGACCACTTTTATTTGTTTGCTTCCATATCAAATTTGCAGTTCTCAATCTAACCTTAAAGCTCCTGCATATTCAGGTTTCAATCATTCCCTAACATGTCCTCCATTCAGGTCAAGTTAGGACCAGGAATGCAGTAAATGCTCTTTATATAGAGATTACAAATGAATGATTATGTATGAATTGAGAGTAGGTACTCTAGGTATGTCAGATTGAAAATTTGATTGCCCAGACAGCGTGGCTCAGAGGTTGAGCATTGACTTATGGACCAAGAGGTCATGGTTCGATTCCTGGTCAGGGAATATGCCTGGGTTGAGGGCTCGATCACAGGAGGTAGTGGAACAGTGATCCTCTCTCATGTTCTAACTCTATATATCTCTCCCTTACTCTCTGAAATTAATAAAAACACATTTATTTGATTAATAATGCTATCCCTACTAACTAGCATCATTTTCTTTCAACAGTTTAGGTTGAGAATATTGGCATTTATCTAAAGAAAACTTGAAGAGGTTTTTAAAAACAAGAAATTTCAATAAATAGAATGGGGTGGAAGTGGTGAAACATTAAAAAAAATATTTATTGTTGAAAGTATTACTTATGCCCCCTTTTTTTCCCATTGACCCCTTCTAGTCTGCTCCCAACACCCACCCTAGGTCTTCACCACACTATTGTCTGTGTCATGGTTATTTAAATAAGTTTCCCTTTGAATTTATCTTTACAGCCAAATTTATTTCGGCCATAGATGCAAGAAACAGCATTTTTGTGACTTATGAAAATAGCTAAAGGGACATTTAAGTTAGATGTGAGGAAGACTTCCTTAGTATAAGGGTGTAGGTAAATATAGGATTGCCAGAGATTATGGGAATCTTTTTTAAAGAATTAATTGTGTATAGGCCCTTAATTAGCTCAGTTGATTAGAGCATCATTTTAATATTCCCAGGTTGCAGGCTTGATCTTTGAATCAATTAATGCATAAATAAGTGTAACAACAAATGAATATATCTACCTTTCTCTAAAAATCAATTCAAATATTTTTAAATGATTAAATAAAGAATAGATATATATGGCTAAGTGACCAACTGTCCATCCATCTGACAGACCGACTGACGGACCAGCCGGCATATATGACGTGCATTTGCAATTTAAAAATAAACATTGACTTGCACATGCACGATACATATAAAGCTCTTGCTGGTGCCAATTGCATGTATGTTTTAATTTTATAATGCTAAAATTAAATGCTAACCTCCTCCCCGACCCCCATGCAAAAATTATATATATTAGTTTGACATATAATGTTTTGCAGTAATGTAATCACCTCATGAATATTTCTCCTAATTAATTTTATTTCAGTGTGCATGAATCCATGCACTGGGACACTAGTAGCTTAATAAAAAACATAGCTCTTAAGACTAATTTATGTGTGCCATCTTATCTGTGTAAGGACTTCTGAGCCCTGGAATTTTTCTACAATTATTAATTATAATCTTTGACAAGTTCTGCTTTAATAACAAAAACTGGTGACCAATATTCCCATGGGAAGGTATTGAATCTGCCTCAGAATTTGGACAGAAAGAAAAAAATAAATGGATGTGAGGAAATTATTCTGTTCAAGACATTAAATATTTAATAATAAATGGAATCTCTGATTCAAAGATAAAGAGAGGAGTGGGGAAAGTTAAAGAGGAAAAGGTGACTTGACCGGGATGTTAAAGTCAAGAAAACAACAACAAAAAGCTAATTTCTCAGTGGATGAGAATGCAAGGCTAGTTTAATTCCAGAGAGGCAGAAACAATCCCAGATTTAGTCTTTGTTTTTCTTGGAAATTATTTTTTGGTGTCTCTCTTAATGCCTCACACAACACAAAGTACAATGAAGAAATTAAAGCAAAGTACAGCTATTTAAGTGGTTAAATAACGAAACAAAACAGTATATGACAAATGTCAGAGTGACACAAGCAGTAAACCTTTCAGAATTTCAAAGAAATTACATTATTGCAGACTTTAAAATCAGGAAAAAGCTTGGTGAGAGGTTGGAACTTGGTCTAAAGTAGATATTAAAAGGTGAGTTGGAATAGCATATTTACAACAAAAATTAGGTTTGTGATAATTGCAAAAATATAAAAGGAGCAAGATGATTTATCACACTACTACAAGTTAAATGTTCTGGGGCTGATACAAGAGTTGAGATTTGGCTCGCTTTTTGTTGTCTAGTCATAGCCTATGTGGTGTGAGTGCATGCCTGTATACATGTGTCCCTAGAAGGATGTCTGTTTACAAACTGATTTATTCTTTTATTTTCTTTTGTTGTTTGTGATTTTCAATAACTGAAATTTTACGAGGCCCCTGGACATCAGGTAAGTTCTCAGAAATCTTTCAATCACTTGAGAATTCATGCTAACTTTAAAAGATTACAGCAAATGGGGGAGTAAGGACACATATGTAACACCGTAATCAATAAAGAAATTAAAATTAAAAAAATAAAAGATTACAGCAAAACAAGAAAGAAGCATATCAAATTGTATGTATAGTATACAAGCTATATACAAATGCATGCAAAAATAAGGCTAAAAGGAAAGGGGCCAGAATTTATCAATTTCTACATCTTATATGTAGAAATTTTAGGATTAATTTTTTTAGCTGAATTTTTCCAATCTGTACATAACAAAGTGCATAACATAAGTGCAATGCAAGGAAAAAACTTTACCAATCCTATATAATAAAGAGGTAATATCCAAATTAACCCTCACAAGATGGCTGCCTACAACCAGGCTGGCAGGGGGGTTAGTGAGAGACGACCTAATGACTAAACAAGCAGGCTGAATGGGGCAACCAGGTCAGTGGGGGGAGGAGGGGGATTAGGGATGACCAGGCTGGCAGAAGGGAGCAGTTGGGTGTGACCAGGCCAGCAAAAGGTGGGGAGGGGGAGTAAGAGTTGACCAGGCCTGCAGGGGTCAGTTAGGGGCAACCAGGCCAGTGGGGTGGGCAGTTAGGGACTACCAGGCCAGTAGAGGGAGCAGTCAGGGGCAATAAGGCCAGCAACTGAGGGCAGTTAGGGGTGACCAGGCAGTCAGGGAGGGGTGGTTGGGGGTGACTAAGCCGACAAGGGGTTAAGTTGGGGCAATTAGTCTGACGGGGAGGAGGGGAAGTGAGGGACAACTAGGCCAGTAGCAAGGGCAGTTGGGGGCAATTAGGCCATCAGTGGGGGGCAGTTAGGGTTGACCAGAATGGCAGGGGGGGCAGTTAGGGGTAACCAGGCAGGCAGGCAGGTGAGCCATTAGGAGCCAGCTAGTGGTCCAGGATTGTGCAAGGGATATCTGACTGCTGGTTTAGGCCCAGGGATCGGGCCTAAACCAGCAGTTGGACATCCCCCAACGGGTCCTAGATTGGAGAGGGTGCAGACTGAGCTGAGGGCCCCCCCATCTTCCCCTCGTGCACAAATTTTGTGCACCAGCCCTCTAGGTCTTTAATGATTTGGAAAAGATCTCTCATTTCACCATAACTTTTATGAAGGGCAAATTTCAGGCAGTAGTTGCCACAGCTACAGAAGAATTCCTTTGTAATGTTATGTCACCTGGATTGCAACTCTTGAGGCAGGTCTGGCCCAGACATCCTTAGGCTATTCTTTCTCTGGAGAGCAGAATTGGCTTCTAACTTGATTGACATTGCCTCTCCCATCACCAAACCTTAGTTCAATAAAGGGGTCTGGTATAAAAGCTGTAGCTCAGGAAACTGAGGGATGGAGGGGTGAAGACACCCTTTCTTACAGCAATGTAACTGCTGGAACAATGTTATTCCTGACTGTTTTATTTTGTGTTTGTTTTTCTTTCTTCTCATGCTTAAACTATTAGAAGCAAGAGTGATTTATGGAGTAAAGTTTTTAAGTTTTGTAGATTGGCTCTGTATCTGGGATATTTGAATCCATATGGTCATAGGTCATTTTAAAGTGATTCTTCAGTACAGTCTTCTAGATCTCACCCTAATCTACAAAGCAGCACGAACATTATTGATTAGAAAGATCACTAGCGTGAGTTATGAAACTATTCTTCACCTGGTCCTGTGACTAACCAGCAATGTGACCTTGAGCAAGGTGTTTGCTTCTTTGGGCCATATCTACAAAAACAACAACAACAACCAAAACAAGGAGCAAAGGATTGGCTGTTGCCTGTGGTCACTGTAGCTCCAAGACTCCGTGCTCCTGACAGGAATGGTGTGATGGGCCATAGATTGGTCCTGAGAAGAATCAGAATGACCTGCCCACTCAGGCTTCAGCTGTTCCATTTGGGGGGATGAGCTGGGACCATCAGGGCCATGCTGGAGACTGAGAGTCCTCAGAGCAAGTGAACTTGGACTTGAGTAGAAAATCTGTTCACTTCCCTTCCTGAATGTTGCTGAAGGGAGATGCTCATCCTTGGGGCTTTCCTGTAGAGAGAAGTGTTCACCAATTCTGCCCTGTGCTTACAGTTGTCTAACTCTGAGGGGACCTGGGGCTGTGCACACTCATAGTGTCCATGTCTCTCTAACCATATGGTCATCTCCTTCCCAAGGAACTTGGACACCATTTTCTCATTGCCTGGGGGAGAAAGCCTGCGTGGTTTTATACTGGTGACTGTTTTGGTAGAGAAAGCAGCCGTACCTGGGATTAAGGTATCCTTCACCCACAGCACTTTCTTTTTGTTTTGTTTTGTTTTCCTCGATGAGAAATCAGTCTGAGCTTTACTTCCATGAATTAATCAATATAGATGAGCATAGGCCTTGATCTGCTGTTTTATATCTGAGGGAAGAGGTCATGCTCTAGCCCATATTGATACTTGCGTCTCCCAAATCTTATAAAACATGGCATTGATCATTTGTCCATTCAACAACAAGCATTGTTCTAGACAATGAAATATATGGGGGAACAAGACTGACATTGTTCTGGCCCCCAGAGAAGCTCCTGATATGGTGGGGAAAGATGGGTTGATGTATAGGGTAATAATAATAATAATAAAAAATGCAGTGTTTTATAAAAAGAAATCTAACACTTAATTCAGACCTGAAGGGTCAGGCAAAACTTCCCAGGCGAAATGATAACTAAAGTTAAAACCTGAGCTATATACAAAGTTAAGCAGAGAGAGAGAGAGAGAGAGAGAGAGAGAGAGAGACAGACAGACAAAGGCAAACAGACACACAGACATATTTGTGGTAGCGAGGACAGCTATGTAAAGGCTCAGAGGAAAAGAACCATCACTGAGATGACCTAGCCTTCCGAGTCCAGGCAGCTTACAGAAAGGTCAAGTTCAGTAAGACAAATGGCAGTGGAGCCCAGGTGGTGTGACTCAGTGGTTGAGCATAGACCCATGAATCAGGAAGCCATTGGTGTGATTCATGTTAGGGCCACATGCCTTGATTGTGGGCGGGATCCCCATTAAGGAGCCTATAAAAAGCAGCCAATTAATGTTTCTATTCTTCTCCCTTCCTCTGTCTCTAAAATCAATAAAGATAATAATAAATAATATAAAAAAAGACAGTCCAGCTGGTGTGGCTCAGTGGTTGAGCACTGACCTATGAACCAGTAGGTCACAGTTCGATTCCTGGTCAGGCCACATGCCAGGGTTGCAGGCTGGATCCCCGGTGAGGGGCATGCAGGAGGCAGCCAATCAATGATTCTCTCTCATCATCGATGTTTCTATCTCTCTCTCCCTCTCTTTCCTCTCTAAAATATACCGTATTTTTCGGACCATAAGATGCACTTTTTTCCCCCCAGAAGTGGGGGGAAAAAGTCCCTGCGTCTTATGGTCCAAATATAGCCTACACATATACTTTATAAAAAAAGTTTTTTTACTTGCCCGGCTCTGTGTGGTCTCTGTGTGCTTCCCCCGCTCTAAAATGGTTCTAAATGCTGCTGTTTACTTTACAGGGTTGATTACATGTGTTTATGACTGTGATGTTGGGTTTTAATGCACATAAAATATTTTAGGACACTATTTGTTTCAGAATCTTTTTTTCTTCATTTCCCTTCTCTAAAAACTGGTGCGTCTTATGGTCCGGAGCGTCTTATGGTCCGAAAAATACGGTAAATATAAAGACAGTGGAGCAGCAGGTGATCAGCTAGAGAATCCATGCCTTGCCTGAAGATTATTAGTTAGGTTTATGTCCACCTTACCACCTTCCCTGGTGAGCATATTTTAAATCTTTACTGCATCACCAATCCCAGTGTAAGTATTATAACATTCTCAAAAGTTAAACTATACAATTACTTTACTTCTCATCAATGTGTTTAGTCCATTGAAAGGTACAAAATGAAATATCGGTCTTTAAAATATAGCTCAGATAAGAGACTGCTAGAAAAACTTCAGGACGGAGAGGCCTCTGGAGCCTGGGGCTCTGTGGGCTCTGTAGAGTCTGCCTGGTTTTATCAAAACAGAGCTCGGGGGTGATGGTCTCTTAATTCAAGATACAGACAGACATTGTGATAAATACACAAGAAGGAAGGAGAAAAAGGATAGCATTATAGCAAGTAGCAATCAATGGAAAGATCTAGAAAAATATGTCCAAGGATCTATATGGGAGATGCCCGGAAAAGTTATCCTCTCCAGCAGACTTCACAGCAAATTGAGTTTAAAGGGGCACTGGAAAACAGTCCAGCAGTCAGAAGGGCGCCCTTCCTGATTTCCATAGCTCTGATTCTCAGCTAACTCCACCTCAGCGGGCCTTACGTGAATGCTAATAGACTGAGTGAATGAACCTTCTCCCCAGGCACTTGTTGAAGCAATGAATGCCATGCTGCAGCCCAGCCAGGACTCCCTGCTGCAAGCCCTGCAGCGGCTGAGACTCTCCATTCAGGACATCACCAGAACCTTAGGACAAATGCACGGTATGGGGCTGCTGTAGGCCGAGGGTTCTGCTCGGGGCAGGGCTGGGCAACATCCACTAGATGGAGCTAGTGTATTAGCTTTGTTTTATGGTAACTCCTTGCTTTTTTAACTTTTGGAGAATGATCTCTCAATTTGCATAGATGTTCTGTGGTTTTGTCTTTTTTTAGTATTCTATTGTGGTTAGGGTAGTTTGCTCTCTTCGGTAGCCATATATTTCTTTGCATGTTGAGATCTTGCATGAAGTTTGGGAGGAAGGGGTGAGGCAAAAAACAACAGCAAAGGTGGTGTACATTCCGTCCAGCAATGTCAGGATATTGCAATGTGTCCTTATGCTCACTTATGCCCCTTTTGGCCTTTTTTTCTCAAGTGGATCCTGGAGAGATTGATTGCTCTAATCTCCTTAGTGCAGAGATGAGGTTTCATAGGTGTAGCTAATTCAGTGGCTCACCAGTCCTGTGGTTAGTTACATTTTATTCAGGTGACTACATTCACTTTCAAGACAGCTCTTCAACTTCCTCTATCAGAAGATCCTTGAAAGAGTATTGTGTGTGTGTGTGTGCATGTGTGTGTGTGTGTGTGTGTGTGTGTTTTGTTCTTTAAGTAAAATTGGTACATAACATCACATGTTTCAGATGTGTATAACATCACAATTTCACATCTGTATATACTACAAAGTGGTCTGCACCAAAAGTCTGGTTAATATACAATCACCATGCAACCAATTCCCTTCACCCACTTCTCCCAAGCCTCAACCTCTGTTAACCACCAGTCTGTTCTCTGTATCTATGGGTTTGTTTGGTTTTGTTTGTACATTTGTTTTGTTTTGTTTGGATTCTAATATGTATGAAATCATATGGTACTTGTCTTTCCTCATCTGACTTATTCAGTTAGCATAATACCCTCTAATACCCTCGTGTTGTTGCAAATAGCAAGATTTCATTCATTTTTATGTTGAGTAATATATATATATATATATATATATATATATATATATATATATATATGTGTGTGTGTGTATATATACACACACATACATATATATGTATATATACACACATACATATATATGTGTGTATATATATATATATATATATATATATATATATATATATATGAAAGAGGCCTGAAGCATGAAAATTCATGCACTGGAGGGGGCCTGGACTGCCCTCTCACAGTCCAGGAGCCCTCAGGGATGGGAGGTGACCCAGAGATCAGCGGGCGGGGGTAATGCTTTATCACACCTCTGCTGTTGCCACTGTTGGCAGTGCAAGCCTCAGTGGGCCCTGATTACTTGAGCCTTGGGCGGTCCTGGGCGGCTGGGGGTGCAGAGGGGATTGGGGGACTCTGGAGGCAGGCATGCGGCAAGACCGGGCCTGCCTGTGTGCCTGTGTGCTGCCCCAGTGGGGCTGAGGGAACAGGGCACCACTATCTTATGGCTGTGGGCACTGCCATCTTTGAGGGCGTGGCAATTAATTAGTATATTCCCTCTTTATTAGATAGGATGCTGCCATGAACATAGTAGTGCATATATCTTTTCAAATCAGTGATTTTATTTTTTATATGAATACCCAGAAATGGAATAGCTGGATCACATGGCAGTTCTATTCTTAAATGTTTGAGTAATCTCCACACTGTTTCCACAGTGGCTGTACCAATTTACATTCCTTCCAATAGTGTATCAGATTTCCTTTTTCTACACATCCTTTCTAACATCTTGTTTCTTATATTTTTGACAATGAAATGTGCCAACAGGTGTAAGGTGATATATCTCATCATGTTTTAATTCATATTTCTTTAATAAGTAGTGGTATTAAACATCTTTTCCTGTGCCGTTGACCATATGTATATCTTCTCTGTAAAATATTTATTTAGCCGGCACCGGTTTGGCTCAGTGGATAGAGCGTCAGCCTGTGGACTGAAAGGTCCCGGGTTTGATTCCAGTCAAGGGCATGTACCTTGGTTGAGGGCACATCCCCGGTAGGGGGTGTGCAGGAGGCAGCTGGTCGATAATTCTCTGTCATCGACGTTTCTAACTCTCTATTCCTCTCTCTTCCTCTCTGTAAAAAATCAAAAAAATATATTTAATATATATATATATATATATTTATTTAGATCCTCTGACCTTTTTAAAATGGGATATTTGCTTTTTGTTGTTGAGTTGTAAGAGTTCTTCATATATTTTGAATAGTAACTCTTTAAGAGACACATGATTTGCAAATATCTTTTCCCATTCAGTAGGTTGCCTTTTTGTGCAGAAACTTTTTAGTTTGATGCAGTCCCATTTTTTTTTAAATTGTTGCTTTTGTTTCCCTTGCCTCTGAATTCAGACTAAAATATTGCTAAGGCCTATGTCAGAGACCTCCTGCCTTTGTTTTCTTCTATGAACTTTATGGTTTCAGGTATTGCATTCAAGTCTTTAATCCATTTTGAGTTAATTTTTGAGTATGGTTTAAGATAGTGGTCTAATTTCATTCTTTTCTGTGTAACTATCCAGTTTTCCAACACCATTTATTGAAGAGATTGTCTTTTCTCTATGGTACGTTCTTGATTTCTTTGCCCTATATAAATTGTCCATATATGTGTGACTGTTAGAGTTATTTCTGGGCTCTCAATCCTGCTCTATTGATCTGTGTATCTTTTTATGCCAACTCCATATTTTGTATTTGTTTTTAAATATTTTTATTGATTTAAGAGAGGAAGGGAGAAGGAGAGGGAGAGAGAGATAGAAACATAGATGATGAGAGAGAATCACTGATCTGGTGCCTCCTGCATGCCCCACACTGGGTTTCAAGCCCTCAACCAGACATATACCCTGACCAGGAATCAAACCATAACCTCCTATTCATAGGCAGATGCTCAACCACTGAGCCAGGACAGCTGGGCCTTGTTGTTTTGATTACTATAGATTTGTATTATAGTTTGAAATCAGGGAGCACGATGCTTCCTACTTTGTTCTTTCTTCACAAAGGCTCACTCTTTCCTTCCTCAGCTATGCACACAAGGAAGTGGCCACATGAGGGTGTGTGGCATGTGTGTAAGGCACCTTGAACACTAAGGGAGCTCAGAGGTCAGTTGGGGGATCTTCAAGCTCAGCATTCCTATCAGCTCCTGGGAGGGTGTCTTCTGGGAGTCTGTGAGATGGTCAGTAAGATCTGCATCCCTGTACTGCCCTCCAAGAGCCCTCTCTGGCACTCTCACAGCTACACCTTATCTCCCCACCCCCCCTTAGTATTCTGGATATGGTGAGAAAGAAGTGGGTCTCTGGATGCATTCCGTGTACCTGGGGAAGCTGGGCACTCAAATGCTCTCACTTTTTCTTGCGGGACAACAAGCTCTCTGTTGGTTCTGAGCTATGTCTCCTTGTGGGGAGCATGATATAGGTAAAGTGAAATGTTCTTCTTACTCCCTTTAGTGCATTCAATATCCTCAAATTATTATTATTATTATTATTATTATTATTATTATTATTTTTACTGTAGTGGTGTGCTGGGGCTTTGCTGAACTGGACTTCCACAAATGCTCTTTTGTCTATGGGTGACTGTCTAAATCAGCATTCATTGGCAAAAGACAGTCCCACTATGATAATGGTATCACTCCTTTGAACATTAACCTTAAATCTAGCACCTTGGTAAACACTCTTATTCGTTGTGATAATTATGTAGAGATTATTTGGGTTTTCTATAGAAAAAACCCATTTGAGAATAATGTTCTCTTTTTTCTTCATTTACAATACTTATAACTTTTATTTCTGTTTAATTTTGTTTCTCATTCTTCTTGCTAAGACTCCCAATATAGTATTGAATGGAAATGCTGATCCTTGTTTTGTTTCACATTTTAAAATACTTACATTTTTATATTTTAACATTAAGTATAATGTATACTGAAGACTTCTTATGGATTCCTTTTATCAATTCAAGGATGAGTAGTACTATTCCTAATTAGCTAACTCAATTTTTTTTTTTTTACCATGAATGGATTTTTTTCATGCACATTGAAATGTTTTACATCAAAAACATTTCACATCTATTGAAATGATCATTTGATTTTTTTCTCATTAAATATAATAAGTTGGGTGAAAATTAAGTAGTCATTATTGATTTTGAAAAATGTGTACTTAATATTTTTTTGGGGGGTGGGGGGGCAAAGAGCACCAAATGAGTAAAACCCAGAAATATCACCCAGAAAAAAAGTCCAGGAGAGTATTGTCACAGAAGAATGAGAGACTATAACACCATTTAGGAGCACTGGGAAACCCTAAGGCTGAAGAAAGACATTAGTTACCCAAGTCATGGGACTTTAGAAAAAAAACAAGAGTTTGGAGGACCAGAGAGTAGGTGTGATGGTAGCAAAAGAAAAACTGATGGTATAGAGATGTCACTATTTAGGTATCATAAAAAAGAGATGTGTGTTTTTCCCCTCTTAGAAACCAAGAGAGATAGACAGGAGCATGCTTAGTCACAGAGGGACCCCATTAGATGAAGAAAGAGAACAATCCTCAAAAGTTGATTAAAAGAAATGTTACAAATATGAAAACTTGCTTCCTTATATATAATTTTTATTATTTAATGAAAGCAATTACCCATAAGCATTGGCTTAGATTCAAAATAGCTGCACAGCTTAATGAATGAAGCTAAATGTGGAGCTAAATGAATCTGTATTTGACCTGGTGTGGCAATCCCCAGCCAGACAAGGGACTCTCCACTTCTCTGTCCTTTGTTGGCTATATAGAACTCCACTTGAGCAGAGATGGCTTTAGTTTTCCTTTCTTGTGAAAGCCTTGAGAGTGGTAATTCTTTCTCCTTTCCACTTCCCATATTCTCTCAAACATCATGTCTGTTTAAATTATTAATTTTTAAATAGATGGCCTTGACCTCTCCTTTTGTTGTGGTTAAGTAGATAAAGGGGAAGTACCACAAATGGAAAAGGGCAGCATTTGGAATAGTTTAAAAGTTCTGCAAGAGCCAATGAGGACAATTACAGAAGAGAACATTCCATCCACCTCTTGCTTGTAGCTTTCATTCCAGGTTTCCATGCAGATCAGATAGAGAAGCAGCCCCAGGAACTCAGCAGGGCCCAGGCACATGTAACCAATTGCTTTTTTCGCCTGTAGTAAAGTTCACATTTTGATTGCTCCTTCAGATTATGTAGATCCAGACATATTTTATGCAGTCATCCGGATCTTTCTCTCTGGGTAAGTACAGTTCAACTGTTTTCCTGCAGGAGGTCTCTGTAGCATTTTCCAAATTTATGGGGGGTGGAAACTGACATAAGCTTCCTAGAGTAAGAAACACACCACATATCCATTGTTAGCAAAGTAGTCACCTAGATCCACTCTTGGATAAAAGAAGAGGAGTAACATCTGCATGGCAAATGGCACTAAAGGTTGAATATTTAAGTTTAGAGTAATTGCCCTTAGGCTCTCATATTAGATTCATGTGTATTTACTTTCTTAGAACCCGATCTTGATGACAGAAAGGGGGGGAAAAAGCCCAATATGCCACACACAAAGCTCAATCATTTATATTTATTCCCTCCCCTTGTTATTAAAACAGATGGAGGTATAGACAGTAACTGGAAAGCTTTCTTATTACATTCCTAGGATGGCTACACTAAGCCATTTCCTCATATTCCTGTATACTTTTTTTTGGTCACATGACCTATAATCTCTCCAAAAATAGATCTCTACTCTTTGCAGTTCTTTTTTAAATACATTAGTCATACAATGACATATTTTAATTATATTATTTTCCTATTCATTTTAGGAAGTTGAATTTGTTTGTGTGTGTGTGTGTGTGTGATTTTAATGCTGAAAAGTGAAAGATGGCAGTAGTGGAAGGAGGTGGTAAAAAATGTGAAGTCAATATCATCTAGTGTGCCATGTGTATAGAGCTAGGAGATGCCTGAAGTGCTATTGATAGAATCTGAAGCTTACTTGGATAAAACAAGAAACATGCCAAATACCAAAATCAATAAATGTATTGATTTAGTGACATAATGCATTGGTGCAAAAGCAGAGTGACAACATGTACTAAGTATTTTCTATAGATTGGTTAGGTCTGGAATGTGAGAAAGTGACCTCCCTTTCTAAGGGAGGGCGGCTTGGGTGGGGATTTCTCACTTATTCTCACTGTAGAGAATAAAAGCAGGAAGGTTTCTATAGAATAAGTTGAGAGTAATAAATAGTTTATGAAGAAAAAGGGAGAAAAAAAGGAGTGACAGATATGGATTTGGGACTGTTTCTCAAAATGCTCTCCAATATAGAATTCTTCTCATTCTCTGTATGTTTTTCATGTAGTCAGGGTCAAGAAAAGATCTGACAGTAGAGAAAAGATTCTAGCAACAAATATTAAGCAAATATATGCTTTGGTAGGATTAGACAAAAAAAAAGTTCATTTAAAAATGTTTTAAAATAGACTGGGATTTAGGAAGCACCTATTTCTGAAAAATCTATTTATGCTTCACTTGGTTCTCTAAGTTTTATCAATTTTCCTTTTAAATAACAAATTACCACACTTTTAAATTAGCAACTTAAAAGTATACACTTTATCATACATTTTTATAGGCCAGAAATCAGGGTGAGCTCCACTTGGTTTTCTGCTTAGGGTCTCAAAAGGCCAAGTTAGGGTATCTGCTGGACTGAGTTCTTATCTTGAGAATCTGGGGAAGAATTAATTCACTCACATTTTAGGTTGAATCTAATTCTTTGTGGTTTTGAAACTTAGGTCTTTGTTCCCTTATTGACTATCAGGGAGAATACTGTTCTCAGCTTCCAGAGGCCTCCTGCATTTTTTGTCACATGGTCTCCTCTGTCTCAGCAATGACACTTCCTATCCTCCTAGTACTTCAAATCTCTCTGACTTCTCCTTTTTGTCACTAACCAGAGAAAACTCGGCTTTTAAGGACATATTGATTGGATTCAGCTCATCTAGATAATCTAGAATGACTTCCTATATTAAGATCAACTGATTAGTAACCTTAATCACATCTGCAAAGTCCTTTTGTAATATGATATATCATATATATAGGCTTGAAATCTCATAATATTAACATTTCTGGGAATTAGAATGGGAATCTTGTGACAATATTTTTTTTTTATTGAATTCTATCTATCATAATTAAAAAGGCACCAGAAGGTGACTTTGTTTTCATTAAAATAATTTCTGGGTCAATGGTGCATTTTATCAGTGTCTCACCTCTGATTCTCATCCTCAAAAATATTTCCCATATAGCTAAACTCAGTGGCCAGTCCCAAGTCCCAAGTACACTGGTAAGTGCAGATGTCCAAGAACATCTGGATTGTTGATAATTCCCAATGGGCTTGTCCTGAAAAATCTAATTCTGCTCCTGTGTTCTTGATCTGTTCTATACTTGATTTACTATTTTTGTTGACTTTTTAAAGCTTTTTTATTTAGGAGAGTTGAGAGATTTCATCTGCAGATGAAACATTTTATCTTTATTTCCCACTCATATTAAATTTCTCAGGAGGCTAATGGTCCCTGTGGAAAAATAATGTCATCTCATTTTCTTTTCCTTTTAAATGTCTGCTTCTATTGAGTTTCCTAGAAATATGCTACAAGAAGTCTAAAAATAATTTTGCCTACAGAGATTTGAAAGAAAAATAATTCTTTCCTTCACAAACAGCAATTTGGGCCTGAGAATGCATGGGAGCAATCCGTGGGTTCTTCACAAGAACTCAATTTCCCTTCCTCAAACTACTGTCATTATAGACAGAGAATATGTGGGTTTTACTAGTAAAAGTAGATGCTTTTCTCTTACTTTTTTGATTTTTACACTGGTATTTTCTCTTCTGGTATTCTATGGGGCTCCAACATATCTTCTTCAGGTTAGGGCACTAAAAAGAGATTGATGTCTTCACCATTTGAGCATTTGATAACTCTTTTAGGCTGGCCAGGTCTTTTTAAGAAATATATGTGGGTCTACATGTTCTAGATATAATACCTAATTATAGAATGCTATATGTTTTATTCACTGATTCATTTTCCAGACACAGTTCTAGGTCTTAGCAATGAAGCAATAAAACAAAATAGCAACTTAATTTTTGGGGGGAACTTACATACATTTTAATGATTGGAGGTAGATGGAAAAATAAATATAATAACATCAAGTATCATGCAAGATACATTAAAACAATAAACAATATGAGAAAATGTGAAGTAAGATATAAGGCATCATGGATTGTGGTGGCCAAAGTTTGTCTGTTTATTTGTTGCTAAATAAATACACTTCTAAGTGATATTTAAGCAGATACCCGAAAGAAGTAAGGAATAAGCCACCTAGATACTTGTTGCAAGCAAAAGGAAAAGAAATGACAATGACCCTGAAGCAAGAGCATGTTTGTCATGGAGGAGTAGCTGCAAGGAAGCCAGTAGTGCTTGGAGTAAATATTGGGGAGAATGAGAAAGATACATGTGCTGGTGGAAGACCAGGTCTTGCAGGGACCTGTTAGCTTCTTTTCTGAGTGAGATGGGCAACACTGGCAAGTTTGGGAGGACTTACATGATCTGTCTTAAGTTTCAATTCATCACTCTATCTTCTAAGTGGAAAATAGATGATTTCAACTGAAGAATGGAAAGTATTTAAGGAGCTTTTACTACAATTCAGGGTGGTAGCTTTAACTAGGATGGTAACAGTAGAAGCATTGAGGATGGCCAGGTCTGGATACAGATTGAAGATAAAGTCTGACAAGATTTGCTATTGGAGTGCACATGGAATGGAAAAGAAAGCGTTCAATCAAAGAAGATTCTATGCTTTTGTCCAACTCTGCTGAAAAGATGTAACTGCCAGTTTTTCTGTTAGGGAAAACTATAGGCAGGTCAAGTTTGGCAAAAGGGTGAAGAATCAGGAGGTCAGTTTAGAACATGTTCATTCCTGTGCAGATATTTAGCAGGCTGGTTATTGTATTTGGTCCACTTACTACAGAGTATCAGTCATCTTCCATATTTCTTCCACAGAAAATGTTTAGAAATTTTATCCCACCACTGTTCTGAATTTTGACAAGTCGTGAGACCTCTCTGAAACCCATTCCTTTCTCCCAGCAGCTTTAGGAGGTAGATGCAAATTAGGAGCAGGAACACTCAGAGGATTGGTACAAAGTAACAGAATAATGAAAGGGAGAACAGGGATCCACTTATTCTGAATAACATTCTAAAATGGCTGATATTTATTGAATGCTTAATAATGTATTCCAGGCATTGAGCAAGTATTGTTTTAATTAGTTCTCTCAAAAACCCAATAAGGTGGATACTTGTGGTATGTGGAGGAGGAAGTGGAGGCTCAGAGAAGATTGAACTAAGCCAAGGCTCACAGTTAATGCACATAACAGCTGAGATTAAATTCTCTATCTGCCTAAAACAGAGCCCTCTTTCCTAACACGCACAGCATGTTACACTTTTACATTCAGAAGCCTTCCTTTGTTTTTCCTGCTTGGTTTCCAAACTGCTTTCTGTGCTCCATTCCTTTCAAGAGTGACAGCCACCACCCCCCCCCTCCCCCGCAAAGCCACTCTGATATTCCTCCAGTGAAAACCAGAGTACAGCCAACCAAAAACAACCCCAAAAGAAAACAATCCAGCTTCTTGTAGCATTTCCTGCCTCAGAGAAATATGTAAAAAAGGTCATGAATAGCAAGCTGAGTGGCCAGTCTACAGCTTTCTTGTGTATGAGATGTGTTTTCTTTCTCTGAAGCACAATGACTTTTAGAACTACGGGAAGAAGGCGAGACATCACGTAAGCCTGTTATTTAAACTGTTAACAACTGGGAGTAGTTTGTTCCCGGTAATAAGAGAAAAAGATTCTATTTCTTGGGAAAAGTAGAAATCCACATGTGCAGGTTCTGAGAACATGAAACTAGAAAATTTCAAGTTTGGGATTTAAGTTCTGGTTCTTCTGTTCCCTAGCAATGTGGCCCTGAGAATGAACTGCTTAGTCTTTATTTCTTTATCTGCAAAATGGGCTTAAAAATACCTGTCTTGATCTACTCAAAAAAGGTCAAACAAAAAAAATGAATGTGAAGGTGCTTTATAAACTGTAAAGTGTTGTAAGTACAAATACATGTGTTCTTGGTGCTCTTGTTTTTGTCTCATTATGGAGCCACCCACTTACACTCTGTGACTATTTAAGACTTGGTAAAAAAAAAAAAAAAAAAAAAAAAAAAAAAAAAAAAAAAAAAAAAAAAAAAAAAAAAAAGCAGACAGAAATGAGTATAATAGTAGAGGTAGAAAGAGAGATATCCAGAGACAAAAAGATAAATGGAATTAGGGAGACTGAAGGGAAGAAAGGAGAAAAGAAAAAAGAGGAGAGGGGAGAAAAACCCACTTAACCTGAGAATGACCAAGTCTCTCTTCCAGTCCTTCCACATGTCCTTGAACTTTGCTTCTGGTACTCTGAAGGCTTGTATTGTTTTCTATTAGTCGTATTCTTAGTATACATACATGTCATCAACAGAGCATTTGATAAAGACATTCCCATAAAGTCAGGGAGCATTTAGAAATGATAGTTTAATATGACAACTGTTAAAACTGTTTCAGGGAAGGGCAAAGGTGTGTGTATGCATGTATTTATATGTATGAGTGTGTGTGTGTGTGTGTGTGTGTGTTTGTATGTGTGTTTTCAAATCTCTACTAGTGAAATTATCAAGTCATCAAGGCTATTTTATCAGGGGAAGTGAAGATTGTTCTGGAGCCCCTACTTTGTTCCTGTTGATAAGCACTGATGTGATCTTTATGACTAGATAAGAGATTCTTAAAAAAAAAAAAGAATTTTATTGATTTCTAAGAAGAAAGGAGAGGGAGAGAGAAAGTTAGAAACATCAATGATATGAGAGAATCATTGATTGGCTGCCTCCTGCATACCCCTCACTAGACATCAAGCCTGCAACCTGGGCATGTTCTCTGACTGGGAATCAGACTGTGATCTGGTTCATAGGTCAATGCTCAACCAATGAGCCACACCAGTTGGGCATTCTCTATTCTTTATTACTTTGTAAGCTCCTTTAAATGAGGGAGGAGAAGGGCTGCATTCTATGTCCTGTTATGAAATTGGGGTCAAGATGATGCTTAAGTACATATCCTACAAAGATATCTAGTCTTTTGCCATAAAATTGCCATCAAATCATGTTTGCTTTATTGCTCACCCTCTGGTTCTATATTAGAAAAATATACTCTTAACTCTAAGCACCTACTTCTTTCTGATTTTTACTCTTGCTTAGATGGAAAGATAACCCAGCAATGCCTGTGGGATTGATATATGAAGGAGTCTCCACGAAGCCCCTGAAATACTCTGGAGGGAGTGCAGCTCAGAGCACAGTGCTTCATGCCTTTGATGAGTTCTTGGGCATTCACCATAGCAAGGAAAGTGGTAAGCCAGACATTTTTCTTTGTCTATCCTTTTTTTTTCTTTCTTTCTTAACAGGGAGAAGAACAGAGGTGTTTTTACAAATTGATAAAACCAAGTGTAACTTAAAATGTCACGAAGTCTATACTTTTCCAAATTAACTGGGAAACTCTGTGCCTACCACATGTTATTGTGTCAAGTCAATTAATATCAGGTCTCAGCAGGAAATTGGGTTTCATTTCCAAATCTTAAAACATTGCTATATTTCCAGCTGTTCACTGCAGTTTTGTTTGGAACTTTAGGCAATGGCTTCCTTGCTCTAAAATGAAGGAGAGTTCTGGAGTTTGTTGATAAGTCTCAATGTTGCCCCTGATGCTTCTAAGCTCCTCCATGAAGATGGTGCAACCTCAAGCCAATTTTATTTAGATCAGAAGAGAAAAGGGCAACCATTTTAGAAATTTCAAATTGCTCATTTCCTTACCTGTCAGTCTTGAGCCAAATATTTAACAGCTGCTAAAACCACTTCATAGTACAGAGGTTTCAAGTTGAATTAGAAAAACAAAGACTAGAATTTGATGTCAGAGTGTCTATTGTAGTTTCATCTGCAGAAGTCAGTTTTCTAAAACTAGACTTTTGCATGCATTTTGACTTCGTGATGTTAGTAGGTGTTGTACCATGTGTAATATTAAACACAGAATGGGTTTCCTATAGATTACTATCTATCTACATTTCTTATAAATATCAATTGATTAGGTTTTTAAACAATTTGTCTTCAAGAGATTGTAATTAAAACAATTGCTCATTCTTTATCTTTTTGCTTTTATAAACCCTATTACTTTCTTCTTCCTTAGCACTCCCTCCAAAACAAAACATTTAAGAAATAAAATTCAGCAGATAATCTAGCTACTTAGTTTAAGAGTTTATGCTCACATATGTAAATATCCTCTCAGAATGATTAACAATATAATTTGCCCACATTTGACATATGGTAAACATTTATACCATGATAGAGATAGTTCCAACTCAGTTATCTGAGCTGTGCTTACTTCATTTTCTCTTCCCTGTCACCTATCATTAGTAAGGAATGTGCATTTGTGTGTTTGAAGTCTATTAGCAAAAGAGCCAGCAAATAGATTGGACAGTTAGCATGATAACAACACTTTTTGCTGTATTGATGTCTGGAAAAGCATATTGGCTCTCTTACCTTCCCAGGTGGAGCTTTGACATTGGTCTGGATTATTTCTTTCAGGTGACTTTCTGCTCAACATGAGGGACTACATGCCACCTTCTCATAAAGCCTTCATAGAAGCCATCCAGTCAGGTCCTTCACTGAGGGACCATGTCCTATCCTCCGAGAATGGCCCACTCCTGACAGCCTATAACCAGTGTGTGCAGGCCCTGGCAGACCTGCGCAGCTATCACATAACCATGGTGACCAAATACGTTATCACATCTGCAGCCAAAGCAAAAGGCAGGAAGCTAAGCCATCTCCCAGGGCCACCTCAGGCCTTAGAAGACAGGGGCACAGGAGGAACCACAGTTCTGAGCTTTCTAAAGAGTGTCAGAAATAAGACTTTAGAAGGAATCCTCCCCCAAAGTGGGTAAGAAAGGCCTCTCCTGGTGATGCCAAACCAGCAAATGCCCTACCAGAGGGCAGATGGGCCTGGAGAATGAAGGTCAGGGTATGTCTGGAATAACCCAGAATCGACCTCAGCTTGTTCCTGTTCCTGTTTTATAGAACTTCATCTTCTTCTTTGTTGAGACCTGTTGGCCTTCACAGAGGAGAATTTTCATGACCATAAATTTTGTTTTCTCCACATGATCACTGGATGGTAGCAAATAATTTCAGATACTCCCTCATTAAGAAATCTATAAAGGAGCAAGGGGCCCTTACCAGTTTAGCTAGATGGATGGAGCATTGGCCTGCGGACTGAGAGGTCCTGGGTTTGATTCTGGTCAAGGGCTTGTGCCTTGGTTGCATCCAATCAATGATTTTCTGTCATTGATATTTCTGACTCTTTATCCTTCTTCCTTCCTCTCTGTAAAAATCAATCAAATATACTTAAAAAAAATAGGAGCAAGGGTATCCCTATTCTATTTGCAAAGTGATGGAAAACCAATGCCTGTGGACAGACCACCTTTTAGATTTCTTGGGGGGAAAAACACACAAATTAAATATTCATGCATTCCTTCATTCACTTAACAATGTATTGTACAATAGTAAGTTTCACTCCAGCCCTCACCTCCTTGCACCTGTTGATCTGTGGAGATGTAGAGGATAGCGGAAGCTGAGGTGACAGCAAGACTTGGAAGTCACCAATAAGAAAATGAATAATGACATGGGAACGGATGAGACTTTTTCACATGATTCATCAATGTGCAAATTCTATTTTAGTTTCCTTCTTTATTTTTAGGAGAATGATTCTTTCTCCTTACACTGAAAGTTTAAAATAATTTTAAAATAATTAACCCTTTCAAAGTAAATGAGCGAAGTGGGAATAAAGAGTAAATTCACATGTTTACAAGGTCTCATTCTCCTGACAATACAAAGCTAGAAAATGTTCATCTTGTCTATTTAGGGTAAACTCCACTAATTTAGACTTGTTCCCCATTATGCATATACACGTAGCTGGGATAGTATATAAATTCCACAGCACTGATCTAGCATTGGGGCATCACGGAGAGTTAACTGACCGGGGGTGGGGGGTTCTGTCCATAATAGTGTCTGCTAAGCAGTCCCCTTCTACATGTAGGCACTTGTCAAATGGAACTTACAGCATGTCTTATTCTAAGAGACCTTTCAGATTCTTGGCCCTTAAGGTCTGGTCATACTACTTAGAGAAAACATTTGACTAGTTTCAATATTCCCAGGAGTATTGGGAGATTAGAAGGTTAGCTCAAGGTGTCTGCTCGGAACTCATTCGCTAGTGTCATGGTGGTGTGTGGGGAGGAAGAGGACTTCTGGACTCTTGTTAACTCTCAGGATCCTTGGTAAGAAGCAATGAACCAGAATATTCCACTTGGGGTACCTATCCTCCTAGGAAGGCACCTATTGCCCCATATCCTTCAAGGGGTTGGTCTGACAAAAAAAAAGAAGGTATAGCATGATAGGAGCCAGACCTTCTAGTCAGAATGGGCCAAAAGAAAACCCTGGGTTTTACAGCATCATTTCTGCCTACTGCCTAGGTCAGGATCTCAGCTCAAAGACCTAGGCTCTCATAACTCAAAAAGCCTTTCTCTCCATATGTTCTTTGTCTTGTGTTTGAAAAGTCTGTTATGAAACTCAGAAAATGAGCATGGATATGCTTACTTCTCTTTGGTTTGTTTTCCAACTGCTCTACATTGGTATCAATAAACCCAGGCTGCCTTCACTGCGTGGGCTGAGTGTATGCTATGGTCCAAGGAGGGAGACCAACTAGTCTAGATGGGGGAATAGGAGAGAAGCACATTGATTAATGATTCAAGACATGGTCCCTTTTCTATATCATTCTCAGGTGAAAAGATCGTGACCTTTAAAATAAGACCTGTGTTTGATTTCTGATATCTCCATTTTTAACAACAACTTGGCTTTTGATCAATTTCAAAAAAAAATCATAAATCCTCAGCTTCCTATTTATTACAAAATCGAGATGATCATATTGGTCTCAGGGTGCATACAAGTAACAGAAGAGATAGCTCTTGGCAAGGAGGAAAAAGGCGATAAAAGTTTATTTGGTTGTGAGTTGCGGCCCAGGGCTTCAGGAGAGCACACTGTATTCCTCAAGCTTCTTGGACTCACAGAGTCTGCAGAGCAATAAAACAACCATTTATTTTTTATCATTGGGAATGCTGGAAAATAGAACATGACAAAAGTGCAGGCTTAAAGAGCTGAAAAACCTGGGTGTGTGTTCCAGCTTTGTCACATTTTACAATGACAAATTGATTCATTTTTCAGAGCCACGGTTTACGCTCTTGTTAAAGAAAGGACATTGTAATTACTGTGTGGAGCAATAGAATAACAATTTTTGATGATATAAATGATACTTTTATGCTTTAAAAATCTCATCACTAACGATGAATTTTACCTTCTTTAAAGCCATCACTTTCATATTAATAAATAATAAAACATCAGTAGAAGCTTAGACACCTCGCTCTTTGCACAGTTGTTTGTATACAGAATTCAAACAATAAAATCAAAACCTCATTTCTCTCAACTTGTGAACAAAATCTCCTTGGTAAATTATTTTTCTTCTTAAGCATACCAATAAATATTTATATCAAAACCACAAGCATAGCTATTTTCATGTAATCAGATCCAACAGAAGAAGAATTCATTTATATACATCTTTGTAGATAAGAAATGTGTGATTTGCTGTGCATATTCCAATCCCAACCAGTCTTTTCTTCAGAGTTTGAGAAGTGATACCATGAAGAGCTACGTAGTCTGCCAACTGTGCATCACAGGTGTATTAAGGAGGTCAGTTACAGGACCTTAGCATCACAGCAGCTGGTCACAGGGTCACAGAACTCCCAAAGCTTAAAACCAGGGATGGTGTTCCCACCTCTACACACTGGACACCAGTCCCTTGTGGAGAACACAGACATGAAGCAGGTCAAAGATCATGTCTGCACTCATGACAAGTTTCTTAGGGACATGCAGGGACAATCTATGCATTGACTGTTCACCTGAGGAACCAAGAGTTCTCAAGCTGGCTATTCCACTAAAATTATACATCTTCCCCTGCACTGTAAAACAAAACCCCACCAGTTCACAGTGCCAACACCACTGAAAACTTGTCCCTGGTCAAATAAACATCTTGTATTATAAATATAGAGACTGATGAATAGACAGTTGCTTCATAGATGACAGATATAGATTGATGACAGAGAGAGGAGGGGAAGGGAAAGAAGGGGGGGGGATATGACCTTAAAACAAGCAAATAAAGCAAGAAATAACCTGGAATTTTCTTAAAATAATGTGGACACATGTGGACTTAAGGATTTAAATCTAGAATTGTACCAAATGTGGCTCTGACCTGTCCCTTAGAGGACAGAACTGCAAAGAATCAATTCAATTTGTATACTTTCAACAGATGTAAGCCCCACTCAAAGAGACCACAGAGTCTAATTCAGAGCAGATTTCCTATAAATGTTGAATCAATGGAAAACCAGATAGAATAAATGGGGTGGAAAAAAAGACATTTACAAAGCCTTATCTTTCAAAACTTTTAGATATGTATAGTTTGATGTCACTACACAATAATGATCCAAATGCAAACAAATGTATTTTATTTTACATTAAACTAACTTTAAAAATGTTTTTACTAATTTTTTAGAAATAGAGGAAGGGGCCGAAACCGGTTTGGCTCAGTGGATAGAGCATCAGCCTGCAGACTCAAGGGTCCCAGGTTCGATTCCGATCAAGGGCATGTACCTTGGTTGCGGGCATATCCCGGTGGGGCATGTGCAAGAGGCGGCTGATCGATGTTTCTCTCTCATCAATGTTTCTGACTTTCTATCCCTCTCCCTTCTTCTCTGTAAAAAATCAATAAAATCTATTAAAAAAAAAAAAAAGAAGAAATAGAGGAAGGGATTAAGGAAGAGAGAAAAGCATTAATAGGTTGCCTCCCACATGCACCCCTACCTGAGATGTGGCCTGCAATGTGACCTGGTCATGTGACCATCAAACTGGTGACCTTTCAGTGCATGGGACGATGCTAAACTACCTGAGCCACACTGGCCAGGACCCAATGAACTAACTTTTAATTCATGCATCAAGCTTGATTTCTTGGGCTAGGAAATGCCATTTTTTGTTTTATCACAAGTGATAGTATAAAACCAAGTAAAGACACCAGTACAGAAGAAAACACATTGTTCTCAAAATTTATAGGGACAAAAGTTATTCATATCAGTAAAAAAACAAACAAAACAACAACAAACAAACAAACAAACAAAAATTCCTTATTGAAGGTAGAAATTATTTTACTAGTATTGTATGAGGACTAGTGCATCGGGAGGAGTGGGGAAGGTGTCTGGCCTGCACCCTCAGCCTGGCCTGCACCCTCTCCAATCTGGGATCCCTCTAGCAATCCAGGACTGATGGCTCCTAACCACTCACCTGCCTGCCTGCCTGACAGCCCCTAATCACTCTGCCTGCCGGCCTGCTCACCTCCAACCCTCCAACTTCCAACTTCCCCCCTTGCTTGCTGGATTGCCTCCAATGCCACCCCTCTCCCCCAGCCTGCTTACCCTCAAATGCCCCAGTCTGCCAGCCTAATTTTCCCCTACTGCCCCCCACCCCCGCCAGTCTGTTTGACCCAAACTTCCCCCTTGCTGGCCTAATTGCCCCCAACTGCCCCCCCCCCCTGCTGGCCTGCTCACCCCCAACTGCCCCCCCTTGTCAGCCTGATCTCTTCCAACTGCCCCCCCCCTGCCAACCTGCTCGGTCACAACTGCACACCCCTCTTTCCCCTCACCCCCCCAACCCGTGCAGGCCTGATCACATCCAACTACTCTCCCTTCCTGGCCTGATCGCCCGTAACCACTCTTCCTTTTGGTTTTATCTGGAAGGACGTCCTGAAGGTCCCCCAGAAGGTGTCCCTGTTTAATGACCATATTACCCTTTTATGAGTATAGATAGAGGCCTGGTACACGGGTGGAGATGGCTGCTCTGTCCTGAAGGGGGTCTCCTTTGGGAGTGGGGCCAGTCTGAGCGAGGGGCTTGGAGCAGTTTGCAGGCCAGCCATACCCCCAGTTTGGAAGTCCCCACTGGGGGCGGTGCTGTCCTGGGCCAGGGGCTGGGGAGGTTTGCAGACGAGCTATGCCTCCATCAGAGTGAGGGTCCCCACTGGCGGGTGTAGCTGGCTTGGGCCAGGAGCTGAGGGCCATTTGGGGGCAGTTTGCAGGCCAGCCAAGCCCAGGCTTTGTCTGGAAGGACATCCTGAAGATCTCTGGAAGGTCTCCTGGTCAATTTG